ATGTCAAAAATTCCATACATTTGGTTTACCACCAGCTGGGAATCGCATTTTATCTCGATAACCTCGGAACCTAGTCCTCGAGCTTGTTCAAGTACTGCAACCAAAGCCTTGTACTCAAGTTTATTGTTAGTTAATGGTACAGTTCTAATGGTCTGCCTTAGAGTTTCCCCCGAAGGAGTGATTAAAACTACCCCGAGACCGGACCCTTTTATGTTGGAGGCTCTATCCGTGAACAAGGTCCAAACTCCTGATATCATCCCCGATACCAACAGTGCTTTATTAGATGCTGAAGGCATTAATCCCGGACTAAAATCGGCCACGAAGTCGGCTAAAACATGTTACCTAATTGTAGCCCTAGGCTTGAATTCAATGTCGAATTTGCTAATTTCGACTGCACACTTAGCCAAACGACCTGACAACTCAGACTTATGAAGGACATTCCTTAAGGGAAAGGTTGTCACAACGGCTATCGGATGACATTAAAAATAAGGTCTAAGCTTTTGAGAGGCAACTACGAGAGCTAAGACCAGCTTTTCAAGGTACGGATAACGTGTTTCCGCTCCTGATAATATTTTACTAACGTAATAAATGGGAATTTGCATACCTACTTCTTCCCGGACCAAGACGACACTTACCGCTACTTCCAAGACCGCCATATAAATCAACAGTTGCTCTCCTTCCCTCATTTTTTATAATAACAGAGGGCTAGATAGGTACCTTTTTAGGTCTTTCAGTGCCTGTTGGCATTCGCAGTCCACACGAAGTCGTTCTTCTTTTTCAAAAGTGAAAAAAAGCGGTGACACTTTTTCGAGGACCTTGAGATGAACCTGCTTAGAGCCGCCAACCTACCGGTCAAACTCTATACTTCTTTCACGCTTATTATATAGTCCGAGATATCCTTGACGACTTTGATTTTTTCAGGGTTTACCTCGATTCCTCTTTGAGAGACCCAAAACCCCAGGAACTTATTAGAACCCGCTCCTAAGGCACACTTCTCCCGGTTGAGCTTTATATTGTACTTTTTCAGAATGTCAAACGTCTCTTGGAGATGCTCTAGATGATCTCTTGCATTAAGAAACCTAACTTACATGTCATAAATATAAACTTCCATCGTCTTACCTATCTGTTTTCCATACATCTTATTAACGAGCCTCTGGTAAGTGCCTCCGGTATTTTTAAGCCCAAAAGGCATCACATTATAGCAATATGTTCCAAAGCTTGTGATGAAATAAGTCTTTTCTTGATCTTTCGGGGTTCATAATAATTTGATTACACCCTGAATAAGCATCAAGAAAACTCATTAACTTGTGCCCGGTCGTAGCATCGATTATTTGATTAATGTTTGGCAATGCGAAAGAGTCTTTGGGGCACGTCTTATTTAAATCCTTATAATGTACACAAATCCTAAATTTGTTATTCTTTTAGGCATTACTACTATATTAGCTAGCCACTCCGGGTACTTTACCACTCAAATTGAACCGATGTTAAATCGGATTACCTCTTCCTTAACAAATCTGTTTCTGACCTCTACTAATCGGGTGTTTCTTCTGCCTTACCGGGGGTATGTTTGGATCCAGACTCAGTTCGTGGACCGCCACCTCTAATGGAATACCTGTCATATTTAAATGAGACCATGCAAAACAATTAACATTAGATTTAAGAAAATCTATAAGTTTTAACATGAGTTCGAGACTCAGCCTCATTCCTAAATGGGATTTTATGTCCAAAAACTCTTCGAACAAAGCCGCTTGTTCGAGCTCTTCTGCGGTTGATTTGGTCGCATCCGTCTCCTACAGTACCTGAAAAGACCTCGGTACTTGATATAATTTTGATGACACCTTTTTTTTATCATCCTCAATTGGGATAGGAGAAGGCACTGGTTCCTGTGATTGTTGTTTGCTGGTTTTTGTGCCTTTGTTGCTGGAAATGGTTACTGCGTTCATCTCCCTTGCCGCTGTTTGGTCTCCTCTTATCTTCTTGATCCCTTCTGGTGTTGGAAAATTTAATAGTTGATGGTAGGTTGAAGGAACAACCTTCATTTCATGTATCCACGGCCTTCTGAGAATTACGTTATAGCCCATGTCGTCATCCACCACTTCGAATATGGTGGTCATTGTTACTCATTCGGCATATATGGGCAGAAAAATTTCCCCTCGAATTGCACACTTGTCAAGTTGAAGCCAGCCAAAAGCTTTGTTGCCGGAATGCTATTCCCGGTTAACTTCACTTGCTCCAAAACTCTCCATTGTCTAATGTTGGGAAAACTTCCTGGATCAACCAAAACACGCTTAATTTTGAAATCTAAAATGTTAAGTGAAATTACCAAAGCATCATTGTGAGGTAGAAGGAGTCCATCAACATCTTCTTCTGTGAAGGCGATTTCATCTTCTAAGACTTTCGGGATCCTTTTACCATGAGTCACTGATATCTTCGTCTTCTTTGCTGCCGAAAATGTCACCCCATTGACTTCGTCTCCTCCAAAGATCAAGTTGATTGTCATCCGAGGTGACCCTACTACCGGATTTGATGGTTCTACATTGTCCTAATTTCTCCCATAGTTGTTCTTGGCGAAGTCGCTTAAAAACTCTTTAAGGTGACCATTCTTTAACAGTGTTGCCACCTCTTCTCGAAGACATTAGCAGTCGCCAATCCTATGGCTGTGAGTCCCATGGAATTCACACCATAGATTGGGATCCCTTTGGCTAGGATCCGACAGGATTGGCTTCGGGAATCCAGCTTATTTAATATTCCTCATTGTCGACACCAATTCTAGCAAGCTGATATTAAAGTTGTAATCGGATAACCTGGGATATGCGACATCACGAGACCCATCGTCCCTTTCTCCTGCTGTGATCTACTACTCCGACTACGATCCGCCCTTCTATAGGAAGCGATCCCATCCGATGACTGGAATCCTTTATTACTACGCCCATAGGCCCTATCGTAAGGCTGGAAATGTTTTCTAGAGGGCCTTCGATATGCATCAAAATAATTTTTGAATTTATCTTGATTCCGGTAATGATTCCGTCCTTTGGAAGACATTGAAGAACCAAGTTGGTCGTCTTCTATTCTGATCTTCGACTCGTGGCGGCTATGAACGTTTGCCCATGTGGTTTCCTGATATTCAAGCAAGCTTTCCTTTAGTTTCTGGGAGGCATCGGAGCTTAACGGGTTGAGACCTTTTAAAATTCCTTTGCCGCCCACTCATCCGGAACCGCGAGTAACAACATCCTTTCTTTCTGAAACCAGATCACGAACTCTAGCAACAATTCATATTCTCCTTGGGATATTCTGAATATATCCATATTTCTCACCTGGAACTTTCTTGCTCCAGCATGAGCTTTGATAAACGAGTCTGTAAGCATTTTAAAAGAATCAATAGAGTGCTCGGGTAAGAGAGAATATCACGTTAAGGCACCCTTTGTAAGGGTTTCGCCAAACTTTTTCAACATAACTGATTCGATCTCTTATTAGGCCAAGTCATTTCCTTTTACTATCGTGGTGTAGGTCGTGATGTGCTCCTATGGATCCGATGTCCCATCATATTTTGGTATATCCGGCATCTTAAACCTCTTTGGGATCAACACCGGTGCCGCACTTGGCTTAAATGGCAACTGCGTATACTTTCTTATATCTGGTCCCTTTAACACCGACGACGCCTTTGGGATCTGATCCATTCGAGCATGAAATTCCTTTCGCATTCTGATCCATTCGCTCATTTGTTTCTCTCATGAATATCATGAGCTCGATTTTGAAAGGGCCATTTAAGTTGTTGTTACCAGATCCACTACCAGTCCCTCCGGCCTCGTCGAAACCGACCTCATCCCTTGGAGTGTTGTTATCGGCTCTTTGAGCCGTTTGATTTGCGGGAACAATAGGAGCCTTTCCATTAGCATTATTGGAAGAACCCGATAACGCCTGCTTCCATTTCGTCATCACTCGATCATGCCTTGAGAGGTGACCCATAATCGTTTTTTGTTGTTCTCTCAAGATTTTAACTGTTTCAACAACGTGCTCATCCTCCGCATCATCAGGAGTTGGGCCCCTCACATGTCAAGGATGCTGGCCTTCGCGTATTGGGGTTACCTCATCTCCTTCATTGCGGGTTTTGCTAGTTGAATCATCACGCTGGAACTCATCTTCCTGCTCATTGTGTGTTCCAACATTGTAGACATTGTTGACATTATTAGCTGCCATATCTGATTTTTCTTTTACCAAGGAAAGAATCGAAACTTGTTAGTAACAAACGAATGGATCAAAGCAATTACACAACTGTTTATGCCCCACTGTGGGTGCCAAACTGTTTACCTGTAAACGGTACAGTTGAATTTAGAGCGTAATTTATAGACAAGCGAATCGATTTGACCTAAAAATAGTAAATAAATAAGAACAAAAATAAGATTGTCAAGTGAAATTAAAGAAGATTACAAGTCTGACTAAGAACTTAGCCTTTATGATGGAACTAAAACTGAGCATAATATGAAAGTAGATTATCACTTTTTGTGTGCAGAGTCCTTTGTGCCTACAATGAATGCTAATCTTTCTATTTATAGCCCTATTCAGGGAGACAAGATCCTCAAATCAAGCCCCTCTTGAATGAGAATAAAATCGTCATTGATGGCTACATAACGGTTGGCTGTAAATGCATATATTCTTTGTAACGGCTGTCCAATGAATGCTATCCGATGACAATGATTTGAATCTTTGTTACTGGCTACTCTGTCTTCGGGATTCGTTCAGCGCTGACGTGCCTACATCCAGTGCCCGGCGGTTTACTGACTCACATGTCATTCCGTCATTCGTCCAACTGTTACTAACCAATTTTACCCCATACACTGTATAGAAGCACAATAGAAGATTTTAGAATGGTTTGTGGTAATCTTGAGAATAAGACGTCATTTTATGTTCGTATCAAGATAGCTATAAAAATCTAAATAACGTCTTTTATAGCGCGTTGATTTTTCATTTCAAAAACTTTTATCTCTACTTTTATTGTTGATCACTGCACATCTATTTATTGAGTGTTCTTCAAAATATTTCCACCTCTAGATTTCTAACAAGATTGACAAAAATGAACAAACCACTCTAGTTTTTTCTCTGTTTCTTTGGTACAGCCTCCTTGGGCCTTCCTACTTACTTAATAAGCATAAGTCACAACATAACAACAAATAGTTTCATATTAAAAGCTAAGAGACCATATTTTCCCCTTTGCTGTGTGAAGAACAATGCTACGTCGTAAACGAATCACAACCGTCCATCCATTCCTTCGGCTATTCACAACTGTTAATCCTCCCGCGACGTTGGAATTCAACTCATCCCTCCAAAGGCTACGCGTGCGACCCACGCACCACCATCTAGAACAATTCCTCTCTTCCTTGTACAACTATCCTACGAATCATTCCTCACAAACCTATGCTACCTTCTTCCACGCCTGCGCCCTCCTTCACCGCCTTGATATTGGCCAAGACATCCACAACCACATGCTTTTCCACAATCCAAATGCCGCTCAAGAACTCTACACAATCAATCATCTTGTTAACATGTATGCAAAATGTGGTAATTTGGAATGTGCTCGTCAACTGTTTGATCAAATGCCGCACAGAAACATTGTTTCTTGGACTTCCCTTATTTCAGGTTATGCTCAATATGGACGGACTAATCAATGTTTTAGCTTATTTTCTAGCATGTTAGCTCATTATAGGCCTAATGATTTTTCTTATGCTAGTGTTTTTTCTGTTTGTGATAGCTCACGTGGTAGGCAAGTGCATGCAGTTGCACTAAAAACAGGTTTTGATACATGTGTTTATGTTGGTAATGGTTTGATCGCAATGTACTCGAGGAATAGTTCAATGGATGGTTGCAATGAGGCATGGAAGGTTTTTAATGTTATGGAGTTTCTGAATCTGGTTTCATGGAATACAATGATAGCATGGTTTCAAATGCGTGGACAAGGTGATAAGGCGATGGGATTCTTTTCAGTAATGCATCGTTATAGCTTGGGGTTCAATCGTGCCACTCTTGTCAGTGTACTTTCTTCTCTCTTTGGAATGGATGAAATTGATTTTTCCTGGGGTCTTCAGGGTTGTTTCCAATTGCATTGCGTTAGTGTGAAAACCGGTTTTATACTAGATGTTGGGATTGTTACTGCTTTGTTGAAAGCGTATTCAATTCTTGGAGGAGAGCTTCGTGATTGTTATAAATTGTTTCTGGAAATGAGTGGATCTCAAGATCTTGTGTTGTGGACTGAAATCATAGTGGCATTTTCAGAAAGAGATCCTACGAAAGCGATTATTCTGTTTGGTCAGTTGCGCCGAGAGGGGTTAAGTTTGGATAGTTATGCTTTTTCCATTGCACTAAAAGCTTGTGCAGGACTCGTGACAGATAGAAATGCCTTGATGGTGCACTGCGAAGTGATTAAATCTGGTTTCATGGATACTGTGGTACTTGGAAATGCATTGATTCATGCATATGCAAGGTGTGGCTCAATATCTCAGGCCAAACAGGTTTTTGAGGAGATGAGATACAGAGATATAATATCGTGGAATTCGATGTTGAAAGCTTATGCGCTGCATGGGAAAGCAAATGAAGCGTTGAGACTTTTTAGGAAAATGGATGTGAAACCTGATGCAACCACTTTTGTTTCGCTGCTTTCAGCTTGTAGCCATGCTGGAAGGGTGGAAGAAGGAATTAAAATTTTTGATGCTATGTTTGAGAAACATGGTATTGTTCCTCAACTCGATCATTATGCATGTATAGTTGATATTGTTGGTCGAGCAGGTCATTTTTTTCAGGCGGAGAAAATAATAAAAGAAATGCCCATGCTACCAGATTATGTGGTATGGAGTGCATTTCTTGGAGCATGCCGGAAACATCGTGAATCTGGGCTGGCCCAAATAGTTGCATCTAGGTTGAAGGAGTTAGATCCAGAAAATTCATTAGCATATGTACTCATGTCAAATGTACACTGCTCAGCAAATAGCTTCAATGAAGCAGGTCATCTTAGGAAGCAAATGCGCCGGCTCGGTGTTAAGAAGCAGCCTGGATTGAGCTGGACTGAAGTTGGGGGTTTGGTGCATGAGTTTGCTTCTGGAGGCCTACAACATCCAGACAGGAAAGCTATATATACTAATCTGGAGGACTTTGTGAAAGAGCTGAAACATAGTGGCTATATTCCTGAGACAACTTCATCTTTACATGACATAGAAGACGAACAGAAAGAAGAGCAATTATATTATCACAGCGAGAAGCTTGCACTGATATATGCTTTACAAGATGCTAGTAAATCTCCTTCCAGCTGCAGTGCCATTAAGATTATAAAGAACATCCGTATTTGTTTGGATTGCCACAACTTTATGAAGTTATCATCAAAGCTAATAGAAAGGGAAATTATTGTGAGAGATTCAAACCGTTTCCACCATTTTAAGAATGGGGCGTGCTCTTGCAATGATTACTGGTAGACTCTGCCAACTAATTTCTACCTGCTGCCTCTCCAGGTAACTTCTTTAGTGTTCATCTATCTCATGACATGTGTCTAAGTAGACTAATTTCAGAGATTGTATCACCATTAGATTGCATAAAATTTAAAGAGGCTGGATTAGGAGCATCATCGATGAAGAAAGAAGGTTGATAAGTTTGAAAAGGATGGGTTGAAATCAGAAAATGTGATTGATGTGCTTCAGTTAATGAGTAACTGTGATGCACCGCTAGTTGCATTTATTTATATTCATGTGATTGTCAGAGACTTCTCCTTATCAAAGGAAAAGAAGAGATTGTCAGTGACTTCACTGGAGGATTAAATACGATCTGTGAATCCTGCACTTGAAAAAGGAACCTCCAAAATCTATTGTTGAAGCAGATGAGTAAGACAGTTTCTGGTCTTTGTATAGGAAATAAAGCATTGTTCCTCTTTTCAATTCGAAAATCCACAGACTTGTTCCAGATCTGCTAAGAGGTCTTATTGTGTGAAGAGCATACATTTTCAGCCAAAGGCGGTGTTTCATCCCAACTATTCATACTCAAATCACTTTCCATTATATAACTGCTCATATTTACTTCTGTGTTGACATTTGATCTTTTACACGGTATATTTCTGTTTTATCTGTTGAATGTTTGCTTAAAACTCTTGGAACCCCGTAAAACCATTACCAAAACTGCAGTGGGCCTTAGAAGTAGCAGTAACTGAGATTAATAGTTTGATTGCAGTGGTGCAACTTTGCTAGTTTGGTGTGTTTTTATCATTTGCTTCAATGTGTGCTGAACTGATAGTACTAACAAATGTGATATTCCAACGATACAGACATTTCAAGAAGAAAATACTGTCATAGATGAAACATGAAGCAAAATGGGAAGTATCATTCCTTAACAATTGGCATCTTCCAAGATGCAACATATGCAAACATGTATCTGGCATTACAAAATGTGTAAATTGTAATTATTTACATAGAGGAATCTCATGTAGATAATGTTGCAACTTCCCTTTTGTCTAGTGAATTTAGTATGGTTACAGATTCAAAATTGTGCAATCTTGACATTTGTGATGAAGGTTATATTGGCATCAACCTATAGGATTCCTGCTGAGAGAATGATGCGAAGAGGTTGCATTTTCTTGCTCTTCTAATCCCACCTTTTTTTCAGTAACCAAAAACTTCTGGAAGGCCAGTGGTTCAAGTGGTGCATATTGTTTGAAACTTAGGTGGATATTTGATCCGTCCCTCAGATCTTCTCCACTTAAAGACCGCATTTTTTTATCTGCAGTAAAGTTTGAACCTATAATATGCACCTATCCCATACATCACACACTAAACCCAGTACAAGAATGAGGATTTTTCATAATGTTTTTGCCTTCTGAATGGTCTTGTTCAAAACACGCCAACAGTTGAGGCTCCTCTAGAGTGGCAAACGGCGTGGGTGTGGCTTTACCTCGCATAAATTATAACCCTCCCTGCACCGCCTAACAACATTTGGTAGATGCACTTTTATCTCCACTTTACTCTACACCAGCAGAAAAAGAAGAACTAATCAAAGAAGTGGTATTCAACTGATTCTTCTACAGCAAAGCTAACTTTTTTATGAGCTGGTACCAGCAACTCCCCCTGTCGGCAACTTATACTCCCCATTTGGTTTAGATTCTAAATCTATTTTCAATTATCTATGTAAGTAATTATAAGCTAAAACTTTTTTCATCAAATAAGCCAGAGGTTATGTGAAGATTTAAGAAAAGAAGAACTTATATTTCTGTGCGTCTATTTACATCTCAAGAACATGCTATTTCTACAAGATTCCTTTGACCTATTCAAATCAGATAAAAACATCTAATTTATGACTTATGACTGATTCAAAACTGTTAATCTATGACTTATTCAGGAAATAATATTTCTAAAAATCCTCCTATAATCAACTCTCCCTCAAGTATTATAATTCTGTATTGCTGTAATAAACAATTAAACTTTCTGAAAAAACAAAACAGAAAGTTAGTAATACTTGTTTAACGAAATAGATTCTGAAAAATAAAAAACAGTATAGGAATAAATCGAGCCCACTGAATACACAGTGTGTCCTTAAGGAAATTATTCCCCTCAAGTACCCAAGGTGCTGGAATATATCCTCCCAGGATAGAACGATTTAACTCACCGGAGTGTTGGATGCCAAAACGCCGGTGAACAGCGAGCCACTCGAAGGCTGTAAAACACACTGGAATTTTTTTTGCAGAAGAAGAAGAAGAAGAAGAAGCTCAGAAAATTTTGTAAGGAAAGATTCTGGGATTCAAACTCTATTTATAGAGTTGCTGGCATTGTTTCTGAAAAGGTTTGCAACCTTTCAGAAACAGCCATGGCTGTTGGAAAAGGGTTGTTTGAAATATTGCGGGAAAAATGTATTTAAAATAATTCGGGAAAGAAAACGGGCCTGACGGAACCTCGCGGGTCATGGGTTATTCCGGATTGAATTTTTCGTTAATTATTTAATTAATTAATTAAATAATTGAAAGGAATTTTGTCCAAAAAGATTAATCAATCAATCGATCTTTGACCAAATCCGAATCCGAATCCTAAGCCGAAGCCGAGCCGAGCGAGCGAGCGAGCGACGACGGCGTGAGGCTTGCCTTTTTCTTAACTCTTTAAGAGCTAGAAGAAGAACAATTATATATATACCCATCAAAAGCCTTTTCTTCCTCCGATATAGGACAATGTCCCTTTGCCAAGGAAAACTCAAATATTTTATTTTTCCTCCATTTCTCATTCACCTTCTTTAAGCTACACAAGCTTAAAATTCCAACAATCCCCCACATGAATGGGGAATGGCTATAAAATAAAGGAATGCACGGACGCGTGTGTGTTTTACATGCAAGAATTAATTGCATCTGGATAAGTAGGTTTCCCTTTGAACTTTCCGTAGTGAACTTATATCGGATATACTCGGTCAATCGGTAGATTTGATATCTTTGAACCGTCGAGCTTTGTTGTATACCTAGACAACATAAGTCACACAATCAATCCTTAACCATCTATGGTTCTCACGGTTGTGTTCGTTTCAGCCATGAACACCGCCTGGTTTCATGAGTGCTTAGAGAATGGGCCTTTACTTTCATTCCCCTTGAAGCGGCTTACACTTCACACTCACATAGGTGATTTCTAAACGTGTAATCCTATAGACACACTATCTGGTCATTTCCTGCCAGACTTAGCAAATCATTAAAAAACCTTTAAGCTTTGTTGACTCATCAAAAAGCCTTAATGATTTACCTCGATTTCTGAACACTGTATTCATCACGAGAATGGGTTGAGTTATTTGACAGTGTTGAACCGTCATTCATAACTTTGTTTGTTCTCTTTGAACCTAGCTCGTGGGATCTCCAGTCTGCTAGGTAGAGTTACCGTCATGATGACTTGTCCTAGACCTTAACCCCATTCCCTTTGATGATCTTTCAACTGCCTCTCTAGATAGGCCTTTTGTAAGTGGATCCGACACGTTATCTCTTGACTTTATGTAGTCAATTGTGATAACACCACTAGAGAGTAGTTGTCTAACGGTATTGTGTCTCCGTCGTATATGACGAGATTTTTCGTTAAACATAACGCTCCATGCCCTGCCTATTGCCGCTTGACTAACACAATGTATACAAATAGGTGCCAAAGGTTTGAGCCAAAATGGAATATCTTCCAAGAAATTCCGGAGCCATTCAGCTTCTTCACCGGCCTTATCTAAAGCTATGAATTCAGATTCCATTATAGAACGGGCGATGCACGTTTGTTTGGATGATTTCCAAGACACGGCTCCACACCCAATTGTGAAAACATATCCACTCGTGGATTTAACTTCAGATGATCCAGTGATCCAATTTGCATCACTATATCCCTCGATCACGAAGGGATATTTGTTATAATGCAAAGCGTAATTTTGGGTATGTTTGAGATACCCCAAAACTCGTTTCGTTGCCATCCAATGTATGTGATTGGGATTACTTGTAAACCGACTCAGTTTACTAATAGCACATACTATATCTGATCGTGTACAATTCATGATATACATCAAACTTCCCAATACTCTTGCATAATCCGGTTGTGAGTCACTTTCACCTTCATTCTTTTGAAGTGCATTACTCACGTCAATTGGAGTCTTGGCAATTTTGAAATCCAAATACTTGAACTTGTCAAGTACCTTTTCAATGTAGTGAGACTGTGGTAATGCTAGACCTTGTGGAGTCTTGTGAATTCTGATTCCTAAGATCACATCAGCAACTCCTAAGTCTTTTATATTGAATTTGCTAGCCAACATGCGCTTAGTAGCATTTATATCTGCCATGTTTTTGCTCATTATCAACATGTCATCAACATATAAACAAACAATGACTTTATGACCTGGAGTATTTTTAATATAAACACATTTGTCGCACTCGTTGATTTTAAACCCACTTGCCAACATTGTTTGGTCAAATTTGGCATGCCATTGTTTGGGTGCTTGTTTAAGTCCATAAAGTGACTTAACAAGTTTGCACACTTTCTTTTCTTTACCAGTTACCACAAAACCCTCAGGTTGTTCCATGTAAATCTCTTCCTCTAATTCTCCATTTAAGAAAGCTGTTTTAACATCCATTTGATGGATTTCAAGACCATACATGGCCGCTAGTGCCACTAACACCCTAATAGATGTTATTCTCGTTACTGGTGAGTAAGTGTCAAAGTAATCAAGGCCTTCCTTTTGTCTATAACCTTTGACAACAAGTCTTGCCTTATATTTGTCAATAGTGCCATCAGCTTTCACTTTCCGTTTAAAGATCCATTTCGAACCTAAAGGCTTATTTCCTGGAGGAAGATCTACCAATTCCCATGTATGGTTATCCAAAATTGATTGAATCTCACTATTGACT